TTTTTTTGGTGGAACCAGGGATTGAACTCAGGCCCTTGCGCTTGCCGGGGAAGCACTTGTTCTACTGAGCCACCTCCCTGGCCCTGTGGGCCTTTTTAAGATTTTAGCTCTTTGTAATCAAAATCCTACTGTAGTAAGTGCTCACAGGTTGAAGGGCCCAGACAGGCCTTCACAAGGGCAGCACAGCATGGTTGAGGGAGCCAGTCTCCCCGGAAAGAGAAGCACCTCATTGTGTGGGCCTCAGAGCTGGTCTCTTCCCATAGTTGAAGATAGAGCCAGTGGCTGACAGGAAAAAGGGAAGCCGGGTCCGAATCTCTTGCCTTCTGTGCCTGTTACATTTCCGTTCCTCTCACTACTATCATCCTTTTGTGTTCTCACAAGGATAGAGGACATCCAAAACAAACCAAGTAGCTGTGTGGAAGCATGTGTATGTAGTCTGCTGTTTAACCTGTGACCACAAAGCCAAGTGATGCTGCATGCCTGGAATCCCAGCATTCAGGAGGCTGAGGCAAGAGGATTACCATGAGTTTGAGGCCAACCTGGGTTTCAAAGTGAGTTCAAGGCCAGCCTGAACTGCATAGTGAGACCCTATCTCAAAAGGACCAAGAATTATCCAAGAAAAGAAACTAAAAAAATGCCTGAAGACTGGGCGTGGTGGTGCACTCCTATAATCCCAGAGTTTGGGAGGCTGAAAATAGGAGGATCACTAGGAGTCTGATCTGTGTAACAAGACCCTGTAGACCCTGTACTAAAAAAAAAAAAAAAAAAAAAAAAAAAAAAAGTCTGTGACCAGGAGAAAGCCAGAAGGAGCGCACATACTGTAATCCTAGTGTTTCAAGTGGCTGGGGCAGGAGCATCACAAGAGGAACCTTGGTGAGACCCCCTCTCAGAATAAATATAAAAAGGGCTGGAGGGGCCGGGTAGATAGCTTAGTGGAATAATTGCTTGCTAGGCAAGTACAACGTCCTGAGTTTGATCCCTGGTACCACCAAAAAGAAAAAGGGCCAAAGTTGGAGCTTAGCAGTAGAGCCCTTACCTAGCATGTGGAAGGCCTGGGTTCATTCTCCACTGCCACAAGAATGAAAGTAAAACCCAACATGCAGTTAGCTCCTGCGGCTCCCTAGATTGCATCCTGGCACTGCGCTTCTGCCGTCCAGGGCTCTCATCACCTGTAGCTCTGCCGTGCACATGCCATGTGGCACTCAGCTTCAGGTTTTGATACCTCAGACTTCTGTATCCTACTACCCTCTCCCAGGTCTTCCTGCGCTGTCCTACATGAAATAAAAAGCTCACGGCCTGTTGAACCAAATCACTTTCAGTAAAGAAAGTATACTTGATGTGATGTCATTGGCGTTCATTTCTGCAGGCGCCCTGGGTTAAAGCCTTCCTAATCTGTTCTCCGAAACTACC